AAGAAGGGTCTAGGCCCGAAACGTCAGCCTTCCTGCTCCTCTGATGCTGCTTGGCCTGCTGTGTTCATCCAGCTCTACACCTTGTTGTCTGTCAGATAGATGGTGATTTATAAACGATCACCTTCCTCAAGGACTATAAATGCTAGCCTAGGCAGTGATGCTCACATTCCATGAACAGATTTGAAGAAAATCCAATTTAACTACTACCCGTACTCAACTTTAAATAAATTAAACAAACACAATTTTTAAAAATTAACTTTCAACTTTGATTTAGTTCACACCTTGATTCATACACAAATGAATACCATGTCACAGTTGTGAAGAATAGGGTCAAAGTCTAAGTAATCATTTCTTTAGTGCTTAGTTCAAAAAAAAAAATTACCCAGTTTCTAGCATTTAAAGAAAAGACAAAGCATTAGAGATTTGGCAACTGATTTCGAACTAAACTTCTGCGGTTCAATATCCACACTACACCTTATAAACAGAGACAATATAAAAAAAAAGTTTTCTGGTTTTCTCTAAAGCCTTTTGCTAGGTTGTCTTACAAAATATAAACTTTAAGTTGGATAACAGCAAACATATGTCATAATTAATGATGAATCCCAATCCTCAAATTATACTGCTCTATTGTTCTTTGTTAGCAAAAATCAACTACCCAGGTTGAGTGACACCCTTTTAGTAACACTATCCATACAAAGATTTGATCAATGGTCTCTAGTATAGAAAAGAAAGAGCAAGAAATTTAACCTCCATGAATCAAAATAAATTTAAAACATAGGTTCAGCCCATACTAAGATATTTACATGGCAATTAAGAGAATGGATACTACAAAAATATTTCATGCCAAGTTGTTTCAAAGAAAAGTTTAATTAAAGTGAGTCATTAGGCTGTGTAATAATCAACAGACCACATTATTTGTAAGACGACAGAAGACGAGTCTAATTTAAATATCATTGAAGATGTACACATGCCAGAAGTATATTCAACAATGTTCTTTTAAACCTGATGCATAATCTATTATTATGGAAATAAGTCTTTAGAAAAATGAAATTAAGAATTTGCCTTCCCCACAGTTCAACCAATATTTGAGTGTTAGAAACAAAGCCCAAATTAGGTCTTAGAAAATACAAAGTTTGTAATGCCTAAGTGGCATTTCTTGTGCAAAATATGCTATACTGGAGAATATGCAAACAGTTCTATATCCATCACGAAGGCTTGGCTAAGACGTTGTCTCTTTGATCTGATCAATCACATTTCCATTTACAAGATCCTGTGATTCAAAATGGACATTATGGGCCAGTATTTTCTTGGTTGCAGTTACAAGCTTGGAATAGTTTTCTGGATTATAACACCTACGTTGATATGAACGAAGCAGAGGAGCTCTATCCTTGTTTCGTGATAAATACATTGGAGGGCGTCTCTGATTTTCACCATCTTTTAAAGACTCTGGGAGTGGCTTCCGTTTGCTTTCTGGAAGCAACATGATACACAACACTGAGAGGACAGCAAAAGTGGCAAACACAACGTGCAGAAGAAAGAAGCCATGTTTATTATGGAGATCCATTATCGGAGATGTTGCTTTTCCAATGCAGCCTGTTGCCATAACAATGCCTAAGCCTGCACCTCTGTGAAAACATTTTGTAAAAGTGAAAAACTTGTAAGGCTAGTTATAAAAAAGTACTTAATGATTTAACTCATAATTGGCCAGAAAAATAACAGGGCAAATGATGCACATTGCTAAATAGTTTGCCCATGAATAACAATTTCAAGTGGGGGTGGTAGTTTGTGGTGAAATGTAAATACCCAAAAGTTGCTACTTGAGTTTCTCTGATCCGATACAAACTTCATGAAAATGACATATTGCTCTTGGTTTGCCTACTGTTTCTTAAAAAAAAAACCCAATAAAGTCACTACATAAGTGTTGATAAGTAATAAATGAGCTAATCAACCTCTCTGGCATTAAGAATCAATTATGACAAATACATTTCAAGAAACAAAATTAACATTCTTACTTTCTCTTTATTTCTTTTATTTTTCTTTACTCTATTTTACATCAAAATACACAGTGGTAAATTCACACCCATCCTCAATTCTTCGTTTATTTTCCAATCCTAAATCTTACTGTTATGGAGATAGCCTATTAGCTGCCCTGCCCATTCCCATTTTCTTACTGCACCATCATCAGCTTGCACTTTCAGCAACTTAAAATGGAGAAACGTTTTTTGGCGTAGGGAGAGTCTAACATAGCATCAGACATCCAGCTACAGCAATGCATTTAGTCAGGAAAATATTAAACACAATCCTATCTTTACACAATCTAACCTATTCTGTACTATATGTTACTGCTCATAGTTGGGACCAATGATTTGTGTGACCGAGTTCATTCCTCAATTCCCTCTATTTTTCCCATAAGTACTTTTCAATGTTCCTAAGTCACGTGACCATATTGGGAAGTTCTGTGCAGACCATTAGCTTCTGCTGCCGGAAAATACAGACATGCATGGACCGGAAGTCCATGTGTAGCAGAAGAAAATATTAGAGGCAACGTTGGTGATCTTCCACTGAGCATTTAACCATCCGCCTGGCAGTATGTTCACTGCAAAAGGATTATTATACAATCTCTAGGTCAAAAATATAACACCCTATTCCAAAGAAAAATCTAATACATAATTTCGTACTGGAGTTAACAACCTTTGTTCCAAATGTACAGCCTTTCATGTATAGAAATAGCACAAAAATCTCTCACACTTGTACCCTCAGAGGGAAAGAACTTTGAACACAGTAATAAAATCAGTTCAATGATACTGAACCCAAGTAGCTTAAAATGTTAAAAGCCTACGTGTGTATAGTTCCAGTCCATTATCTTGGTGAAATTTTACTTGGAGAGGTGGTTTATGGGAACGTACCAAATGAAGACTGTCAGTCATTTTCTGGTATGCGGACAGCAGGGAAGAAACTGATTTTGCAGTTAGTGGCTTATTACTTTAAAAATGAAATGACCTTGATATTCCACTCTCCTGTGATTTAAATAATAACTAAAAAATGTGATACATTAGACCTCAGCTACTGAATCCAAGTACATGCGTCAATCGGAGGTTCCTGCTCAAACACTCGAGTTCAAAAGCTGGAAATACTCACCTCCTGACACTCCAAACCTGTCCATCATCTACAAAGGCACAAATCAGGAGTGTGTTAGGATACCTCCCACTTGCCTGGATGGGTGCAGCTCCAACGTGCAAGAAGCTTGACCTCATCTAGGAAAAAGTAGTCCGCTTGACTAGCACAACGTCCATGAATATCCACTCTGTCCACCACCAATGATCAGCAGCAATGTGTACTATCTACAAGATGCACTGCAGAAACTCAAAGATCCACAGACAACACCTACCAAACTCAACCACTTCCGCCTAGAAGGACAAGGGCAGCAGATACATGGGAATACAGCCACCTTCAAAAGTTCCCCTCCAAGCCACTCACCATCCTAACTTGGAAATATATTGCCGCTCCTTCACTGTTGCTGGGTCAAAATCCTGGAATCCCACTCTAATGGCATTGTGGGTCAACCTGCAGGAATGCAGAGGTTCAAGGCAGCAGCTCACCCCTACCTTTTCATGGGCAACTATGGATGGATAATAAATGCTGGCCAGCCAGCGATACCCACATCCCACAAATGAATTAAAAAAAAACCCCAACAAAGTCTGCAATTTTTCCAGCCAGATGTTGATTTAGGGGTGGAGGGAGGGAGGGAGGGAGGGAGGACAAAGACACAGGCCAAGCAAGTTCAGAAGCAAAACGTTCACCACATTTTTGATGCCATCCTCAGAAATCAAATCTAAAGCATTACGATTAACATTCAGCTTTCAGACTCAAAAATCAATTTTGAAATAATTTAACATTTGAGTTTTACCTTTTCATTGTTACTTCTAGTGTATTTTTAGTATTAGAATGTCACAATAATGCAGAAGACCCACATTTGCCACTTTAATTCAAATTAAAGTCATAAATTTTAGTCACGGCAAAAAAAAAAACAAAATAATTACATTTATACAAATACCATAATCGCAGCACTTACCTAACTACAGTTGGAATAATCTCACTGGCAAAAAATATACTCAGTATAGCAACAATATAGGCTGAGAACAGACCCAGGATGGAAAGAGCCAGTTGAAGAGCTTGATGCAGGTCTGCAGGAAAAATTAAAAACAAACTGTTGGCACTGTAATACCAAAGACCAAATGCTCAAATCACTTCTAAAAAATAATTTGAAACTTTTAGTATGTCCCATTATTTATAATTGTACCAGATTTGACATAACTGCACTCATCATAAAGGTTTTAATAGACATATGCAAGCACATTAAACAAAAATAGCAGAATTAGACCACAAGTCCCTCAATCTATCATTCACCAAGTTCATAGGTGAAATTTCATTTTCCAACCTAATCTCCATATCCCCCAATTTTCTTACTGTCCAAAAATCACTGATTCTTGAATATACTCAATGACTTAGCACCCACAGGCATCTAGATTTGACAATCTCAATAGGTTCACAATCCTCAGAATGAAATGCATCTCTCCTCAAGTTAATTCTAAATGGCTAACCTTTATCCTAAGACTACCACTAGATCCACCAGCACGAGAGACCGTCTTACAGAAGGTTTATCTAGGTGGATGCTAAGAATTTCATGTTTCAATGAGATAATCTCATTCTTCTGAACTGAATACAAGTCAATTTTACTCAATTTCTCCTTGAAGAACAGCTCTTTCACCCAGGAAAGAGGTGAACTTTTCTTGCACCCTTCAGTATATTTTTGGTTGGGTGAGAAATCAATACAGTATATCATACTCCAGGTGTGATACCTTATTCTTATGATCTGATCCTTAAGAAACAAACGAATATATGATTTTCCTTCATAATTCTTTGTTGCATTTGAAATGTTACCGTGTGATTTATGTACAAGGATGCACAAAACCTTCCGAATCCCAATATTTACTCTTTCCCAACTTTAAAAACATTCTATTTTTCATTTTCCTATCTAAGTGGATAATTTCACATTTTCCCACAGCATACCTCATTTGCCAGCTTCTTGTTCAATCACTTAACTGATCTATAAACTTTGTAGATTTTCCTCACAACTTACTCTCCCACTCAGCTTGGTACTATCAGTAAATATGGATACATTACAGTTTCCTCCAAGTCATTGATGTAGATTGCAAATAGCTTAGGTCTAAGCACTGATCCTTGTAGCACTTTAAATAAGTCATTTTCAAAACAGTAGGATGGAACTATCTTCCTAATACTCCCATTTTCTTTTCATGAATCTGTGCTCAATCCAAGTTAACATACTACTCCCAATCCTATAAAACCTAATCTGGAGTACCAAATTTTAATTGGCATCAAATGGAATCCATTCTCAAAGTTCAAATGAAGTACATCAGGCAGTTTCCCCTTTTGTTTTTGGACATCCTGAAAAATCAATAGCTTCAATAAATGCGAATTCCCTGTGTAAAACCATGCTAAAACTGTCAATCTGTGCTTTTCCAAGTGCCTTTTTTCCCCACGTCCTTAATTGAATGTTTGCATTTTCCTTACTTTTGACATTTAGCTAATTGGCATTTTATTCAGAGTTTTCTTTTTTCCCTTCCTTGTGTGCAGCAGGATTATACTTGCTCTCTTCCTATCAATGGGAACTATTCTAGAATCTAGGGAACTGTGGAAGATCATAATCAATATTCACTATTCCTCCAGTTGACTCTTAGAAATCTATGCCTGCGTTTCTGAAACATTTTCCCCATTGTGAAGCCATTTAGTGCTTGAAAATTGCCATGGCTCCAGGCAGAGTGGAAGAGAGAACTTTAACAGTAGTGGTGACAAGTGTGGGTGACTCGAGAATGTGGGATGGCTGTTTAAAACAAAAACAAAAATCCTGAGATAGTGATGGGAATGGAATAGTGGGAGGGTGAGATCGACCAGCAGGCCACTCCCAAGATTTTAAAAAATTGCAGAGATTTAAAGGCCATACCTCAGTTAGCATTTGGTCAGTGTTCCACAGCTCTTCCCATTCAGCTTACTACCCAATTGCTCCAGTGTGTAGGCCTTCAGTTCCTGGAAATTTCTCCAATAATTTTTATTTTTTTTTTAAAAATAGCAATTACTTTGAATTCCTCCTGCTAATTATACTTTTGGTTCCCCATACTTTCCAGGATATGTTTATTTTCTCACTTGTCAAGCCAATGTAATTGTTTGCAACGTCTCTACTATTTAAATAAATTTGGTAGTGCAAAATTTAACTCTAGCTGAAAGGCCTTTGGTCAAAACACCTCCTCTTACTGCAGAGTTCACATGTGGATAACAGATTCCAGTTTCTGTTCCACTGAAATTTAAGAAAAATTGAGCAGTTGCAGTAATATGTCCAATTGTATTATATTCTTCATCATATTGTGTACTGCCCATCATAAGAATTTAAATTTACTCAATTAGCAATGTCTTGATTTAAAAAAAGAAATCATAATCCTTCTTTTCAAGTGTCTCCAGGGTCTCACCAGTCCCAATTTCTGTAACGGTCTCCAGCACTAAAGCCCTCATATCAGCACTCCTCTAATTCTGGTTTCTTGAATATCTCCAATTTTAAGATCATTCCACAATTGGTACAAGTGAGCAATGAACTAAAGTAAGCCACTTGGTCCTTCAAGCCTGCTCTGCCATTCAATAAAATCATGGGTGATTTGATTTTAACCTTAACTCTACATTCCTTTAATGAATTTTTGAAAACTTATGACCCCCAAAATCTTCTCATCTCTACGTTAAAGAGGCGATCCATTACTTTTAAACCATGACCCCTAATTCTAGATTCTCCTAGAAATGGAACATCCTTTCAACATCCATATGGTTGGCATCGCATCAGGTTCTTGTAGGTTTTACTTAAATCACCTCCAACTCTAAACTCCACAGGATACAGGGCTGGCTCGTCTAGCCTTACCTCAGGAGACAATCATCTCATTCAGATATTAGTCAAATAAACTTTCTGAACTGTTGCCAACATATCAACATTCTTCCGCAAGTAGTGACCAGTATTGTACATGGTCACAACCAATAACCCTATATAACTGCAGCACATTCCTATTCTAGCACTCAATTCTCTTCTCAATAAAACATAACATCCTATTAGCTTTCCTGATTTCTTGCTGTCCTTGCACACTAACCTTCTGGGATTCATGCACAAGGACACCCAGGTCTCTGCATCTCAGAGCTCTGCAACCACTCACCATTTAGATCATTTGATTTTGTTTTTAATTCTGCGAAATGGACATTTGCACTTTGCCGCTTTGTATTCCATTTGCCAGGTCTTTGCTCAGTCACTTACTCTATCTCCAAGCCTTTGTAGGCTCCTTATGTACTCTTCACAGCTCACTTTTCTACTTATCTTTGGGTCATCAGCAAATTTAGCTTCTAAATCTTTTGTGCTTTCATCCAAGTTATTTATATAAATTGTGAAGAATTGAGGCCCCAGCTCCCTGTGGAACAGCATTCATGACATCCTGCCAGCCTGAAAAGACCCATTTAATCCTATACTCAGCTTCCCGTTAGGCAGCCAGCCAATTTTCTACCCATGCCAATAAAGGTTACTCCCTACTCCATCAGCTTTTATTTCTCAGAGTAACCTTTTATGCAGCACATTATCAGAAAACTTTTTGGAAATCTAAGTACAATACATCCAATGGTTCCCCTTTATCTACAGCACAAGTTACTTCTTCAAAAAGAAGTTCAATAAGCAAATTAAACAGGAGTTTTTTTTTTTTCCCTTACTCATTCACAGGATATGGGCTTTCCTGGTGAGGCCAGCATTTATTGCCCACCCGTAATTGCCAAGAGGACAGTTAAGAGTCAACCACATTGTTATGGTTGAGGAGATCAGACCAGGCAAAGATGGCACTTTCCTTCCCTTTGACAAAACATGTTTAGTTCCTGGAACGTTCTCCAGTAAGATTTTTGTCAAAAAAAAAAAAAAAAAAACAAAAAAAAACGCAATCACTTAAGAGTTCCTCATGCTCATTAGATCTTTGGTTCCCCACATTTTCTAGGGGGTGTATGTCTTCTCATTGATCAAGACAATGTAATTGTTTTCAACTTCTCTAAAATTTCAGAACTCGAGTATTGCTAAAAGGCCTTTTGTCAAAACTCTCCCTTGTAACATGAAGTTAACATGTAGATAACAGAACTTACCTTTTTCTCTTCCATTGAAATTAGAGAAATTCTGCTTGATTCTTATAAGAGTTTTCATTAATGGCTTTTAATATTTTCCCTCTGATGTTAAACTAATTGGTCTGTAGTTCTCTACTGTTCCCCTGACTTTTTGATTAAAAAGGAATTACATTAGCTATTTTCCAATTTAAATGAACTTTCCCCAAATCCAGGGGAGTTTTAGAAAGTTAAAACCAAAGCAACAACTAACTCACTAGCAACTTCTTTTAAGACCCTCAGATAAAATCCATCAGGACCTGGGGGCTTGTCAGCTTGTAGTTTCATAATTTAGTCTCAATTCCTTGGCAACTGTAGTTTTCATGAGCTTCTTCCTTCTTTTCACTTCTTGACTTGCAGCTATTTCTGGGATTTTACTTGCATCCTTTCTAGTGAAGATCGATGGAAAATCTGTTCAATTCATCTGCCATCTCTTTATCCTTTGTTATTACTTCCCCCAGATTCTCTATAAACGTTCAACACTTACTTTGTCAAGTCTTTTAAATATCTGAAGAAATGTATCGTATTTTTATATTTTTGGTTAACTTTCTCTTGTTCTCTAATTTTCCTTCCTAATTAATATTTTCGTAATTCTTTGCTCTTCGTATTCTGTCCAATCTTCTGACCTGCCAATTATCTTTGCAAAATTATATCTTTGAGCTTGATGATACGGTTAACTAACAAAGTCAAAGATGAATGGCTGGTCTGTCCCTTAAAACTCTAAGCAAAGTTCAATTGTATTAGGATTGCTGCTACCCAGTGGTGCTTTCAGTAGGAGGTAATTAATCTTATCTCATTGGTAAAAATCAGGTCTAGTGTAACCTGCTGTGTGGTTGGTGCCATAACAAGTCTTAATAAATTGTCCCAAAAGCATTCAATAATTTCTTCACCTAGGCTACTTTCTCCCCCATCTGATTTTTCCAGTCTATATGCAGGTTAAAATCCC